ACTCTCTGTTGCACTGATAAGTAGCATTGCTACATTTTATTTGTTTGTTAAATTGTATAAAGATTAAAAAGACAAAAATAGTTGTTTGATATGATGACAAGAAAGATACACTGGGCTTTGCAGGGAAATTGTATCAGATAATATCGTTGCCATAGTTTTGAAGCTGGTTAAGGAGTAGAACTTTCAGTCTTAGTATTTTTTTCCTCCTTCCAAAAATTAGCAGTGCTGTAGGAGTGGACACCATTTCCGTACTTTTAACAACTAATTTTCCCTTATTTGTCTTTTGGTAAAGTTTTGTAGAAGTGTGGGGTTTATTTTCTTGAGTAGGATGTAGGATGCAAATAGGCAAACATATGACAAAGTATTGATTTCTTTCATTATTGCACAAGTACTCAAAAAGTTCACATTAGAAGACATACAGGGTAGATAGAAGGTCAAAAAGAAGTAAGATGTTAAACACAAACTTTTCAACATCGTAATGTAACATTTTATAGTGGAGCACAGTAGACTGTTGATTGTGCTATGGTTGCAATGTACTGATCATGTAGGTCATATGTTGATAAGAGTCTTTAATGGGAAAGACCTGGGTGATCACACTCCAGAAGAAATATAGATAAGAAATCTAAAATATAATAGATTATGGTTATTTCATTGAATGTTTAAGTGGAATTTTGCATGCTAATTTAAAACCCTGTCTAATAATAGATAAAACCATGTTGTTGATTAAGTATATTTATCATCAGCTGAACATATTGAATATATGAATCATCTGCATTTCCATATGGATTTCATTTAAGCAATCAAGGATTTTATACTTCAGAATATTCCTTTATTCGTCTTCTTTAATCCCATTAGTATATGAATTGACTGATTCCAGGATATGGTGTTAAACCTAGCAAATATTACTTTAAGAATATATAAATGTATCATGATTTTTTCTTGTTGAGACTTTACTTTTATGTTTTATATCACTTAGTGTAGTGTTGTAATTTAGTAAAAGTAAAGGTAGTGCAACTTTTTTGTGGTCTTGATGTTAATTTATCAGCCTATTATTTTATACTTGTGAGGACTTGTTTATTACCAAATTTCTTTCTGCTAATGTGCTGTCTTTTACCATTACTTACGTCCTCAGCATATTTTAACCATATGAAAGCAATTAATAAACTGCTTGACTAATAACTATCTTTTGTGATTCAAGTCTTAAAAAATCTTTCCCATTTAAATTAACATTAGTTATATTAAATTTTTTAGTGTAATTCTTTTCTTTTACTCTTGATACAATAATTTGCTGCTTTCATATGATGAAAATCACTCTAAAGTTTCTTCATAAGTATTCTGCTTAATATCTGAATATGAATCAAACCTTGTTTTTTTCCCTCTACAGCCCCCAGATCTGGTCGCACTGCCACCCCCAAGACTGCCTCAAAAGCTGCAGCCTCCAAGAGCACCCCTAAGGCGACCCCCAAGTCAGGTCGACGGGCTACTCGCAAGTAACACGAGGTGAATTCTGAGACGTCGGAGGGAGAGGAAAAAGTGCGACATGTGCGCAAGAAGAGCGCACTTAATGACCTGACTACATGCATAAGGCTGATGATGTTAGAGAAATAGCAACTCGTCCAATTTTCGGATTAAGGAAATTCATTAAAGTTGTATTGTGCGAGCCTTTATGCATATTACTTTCGAAGAAAAAAATAAAAAACAAAAAATAAGGGAAAAAAAGCAGAAGAGGCATTTTGTATATGAGCATTCAAAACATAACCTGTAACCCCTCCCCACCCCTTAACCCATTCCCTCTCATCATCTCTGTTTCTCTCTCTCCCACTTACCCCTCCCCTCTCCCCATCTCCCTAATTGTTTTACGGCTCGTATCATTTGCTTGCATTTAAATTTTTTTTTTAATGTTGCCCTCCCCACCTGATGCCCTCCCATCCCCCTACCAATTTTTATTTCTGTTTTTCTTTATATATATATAATTTACAAAATGCTATTCATTGTAGATATGAATGGTACATCCTTTGTAGAAGTGAGAGTGAGAGTGAGTGTGAAAGTGTGTGTACAAAATATTTGAGGGTAAATGTAGTTGGTTTGAATTAATGGAAAGATAGGTTATGTTCGGAGTACATATTAATGTTTCATCTATTGTATATGTATAATAGTTCTCAATGTACAACTCAAACTTTTCTCTTTTTTTTCTATTTTTTTTTTATATATATATATACCATTAAAGCATGGCATTCCCTCTCCCTTGTTCCCACTCCCCCAACAAATTTCAGGTCCAAATTATTTGTTAAAAATGTAAATCTCTGCTCAACATAAGATAAACTTTCGGAATGCATCCACCCAATGTAAATGAAGTAGAAGTTATTAATTGTAAAAAATAAAGCCCATTTATATTTCGTATGATTAAAGTTATGCAGCTATGCATAAGGTTTTATGCACTTTTATGTTTTCTTATTATGTTTTATCAACTTGTTTAATTTTTTTTTATATTTTGGCTGATACAAAGTTTGAGTTTGTATAGTTTCTTACTAAATATCTCAATACAATTGGTTTTTTGCCATTACTCTTTATTACACATGTCAAATGGAAATATCTTATTTTTTGAAGTGAAAAATGCAATATTTTGCTACTGTTAATGCACGATTACTACTTGCACTTCAGTATTGAGCAATTGGTTAAGGAAGTTCTAAGCAGTAGCATAGTTCTGCCTCAGCCCTCTACTCTGAAGGTGTATTTGCCATCCCTTACTAAACTGTCAATGAAGTTGGCTGGTTGGTATTATCCAGCAGCAATGTTACTTCATTGGAAGATTACTACATTGTAAAACAAATATACCTTAGACGAGAGTAAGAGATAAGATGTAGGAGAGGACCACCAGCCCCATAATGCTGTTTGCCTACACTCAAAAGAGGGGTAGAGGGCGGGACAAGGTAGCCTGTACATAGTAACATGACCTGTAACATTGATGTGTTGTCTTGATTGTAGGTGTGACATGAATGCTGTTTTCGATACAAACTATACTGGGCCGTAATTAATGAAAAAGAGTGAGTGCTGTCAGTTGAGACACAGTATTGTACCATTTTAATGACTTGGTTTGTCTGTCATTGTCATTAATACCAATGGTAGAAGATTACATTGTAACTAATGATAATAGATATCTCAAGGTAAAGGATATTGGACTGGTTACATTACCCCCTTTTTTTTAAGTAAAAGAAATCTTGAGGCATATCATGACTCGGGAGCTGTGCTAGGTGTGAGTGCTTTACTGTGGGAGAAGACAACCTGATTTACGTTAATGCTTGTTTATCATTTCAAAGTAAAATTTTCACAGGTGAGAAAGTTTTAAAAACAGATAGTGCTTGAAAAGGGTATATCCTCACTGGAGAGTTAAAAAGTAGAACATTGAAATAATAATAATAGCCCAGATAATGTAATTTTTTTTCTCTCTTGAAACTTCACCACCTGGAGAGCTCATGCCTGTTTTCCATTGGTATGTTAATATAACTGGCTTCAGAACACTGTGAATGAAAATGACTGTGTTCGTTGATAGTGTTTGAAAATATTAAATGGCAACATTACTATGTGACAAGTTGCTTTTGTATCATGTTCGATCACTTTTATACAAATCTTACTGACTTTAAGGGTATTTGTAAAGATTCAGTGTACATCCTTTCTAGTGCAAACTTGTTAGGGACTTTAGACTATACGGACTAAGACAGTATGGAGTTCGTTTGAGCATGATTTACAAATAATTTTATCAGTTGTATTTCACTAGGATGGGAGTTTTCCTTGTGATCATTACAAAAATCCTAACTGTTGCCATATACTGACCCATTTTTCTCTGTGTGGTCTTTTAAGCAAGTGTCATGCTCAGACTATGCTTCACTTGTTAGGAAGAGTGGACTGAAAGATAACTTTTTTCTTAAGTGTTGTCCCCGTTGTGAGACACCTTTTGACAGACTGCAGTTATTTTGAGCCATTTGCAGGATTGAAGGAATATAAAACCAAGAAAAAAGTAAAAAAAATAAATACAAAAAACAAAAAAAAACATTGGATATGAAATGATAGGGAATGATATTGTTACATGATTTCAAGGCTCTCTTTTGTAGACGTTCACATTTGGTAAGATATGTTGAGCAAAACTGCCATGTGTAGAATAACTGACAATTTTGATTGACAGGGTTTGCACTGTAGCCAAGAGCATTTGGTTTATGGATTTGCAGTTTGGAAAATAACTTATTTTAGACATTTTATATAAATGTGTTTGTTAACCTACTCAAAAAAAAAAGGAATATCACCCAAGTTGTGTAAATTATGCTTTCAATAGTTGCTATTAAAGATTATTTTGAGGAAAACAATATATTTTTGAATGGCAAGAAATCCTTTTTCAAAACATGAACACTGATGAAGGCTATAGTGATTGTTGCCATGTGACGAGATCAGCCACTTTGAGTCTTGGGTAAATAAAAGAGTTTATTAGGATATATTTTCCTTCACTTTTTGGTGAGGGAAGCAATTATGTTCGTCATTTAGAAAAAAAACAAAATGCATAAAAAAATCCAAAGGTGACGAAGTACGGAGACTGACCTTAGTATGTATAATCATAGGGGTGCAATTTTTTTTGCAATTTTAAGAATAAAAACTTATTATATACAATCAATCAAGGCTCAATAAAGTTTATGTCGTCAACATTTACTTTATGAATCCTCAATCGATATGTGTGACACAACCTACATGATAAGATGACTGATACAAGGTACTGTCTGTATGCTTCACTAAAATAGGCTCTACTATGGTTATATTTTGATATTCTGTTCACTTGCAAATCTGTCATCCGGAATGTTGTGATTATTCAGTTAGCAAAACTATTTGGACACATGCAATTAGGAATGCCTGAGTTATTCTTTTACAACAGACCATTTTCACAATTTTACATACAGTAAGTAGGTCACATTGTAGCAATGTGCCATTGTTTTCATAAGTAAATATCATTGTACAAA